CTACTTGGGTGGCCCTGATGCATCTTAAACCCAATATGTACTAAACTATATTCATTATCTCCCTTCACCCAAACTTGTTCTACATTCTTGATCTTCCAGATCCTTATTCTCCTCTTTATTTCCTCTGCCAATGCTGGGTACAGGTCTAATAGCATTATAACAAATCTCTCCTTAATATATTCTCTGCATTTCCTGCCTCTAATCTTTCCTCAATTTAATATGTCCTCCACATTTCTGCCACAGTAATTGTCCTAAAAGGAAAAAAAATTCTACCTCTCTCCTTAAAACTCTGGTAGAAAGATCCTTTTTGAGGAAAATGTCTTATGATCTGGTCCCTGTATACCTCTCTCCAGCCTCAATTTCTACTTCTACCCCCTTCCTGTTTTATAATAACTGACCTGGAGCGTGCTACACTTCAGCTCTTTATGCCTTCCTCCTTGTTGATACCTCTGCCTGGGGTGTCTTGCTCTCCTTGCCTACTACATTTTATTCACATTCTCACTTCCTCTTAGAGGATTACTCACTCTTTCTCTTGTGCTACCTCAATGCCTTGTACTGTTTTGAAACATATTTCTTTATATATCAACATTCCCTTCTAGATGGGGTTCTGTGATGGTTAATTTTAGGTGTCATCTTGACTGGGCTAAAGGATGCTAGGAAAACAGCGTTTTTGGGTGTGTCTGCAGAGGTGTTACCAGGAGAGATTAGCATCGAATTGGTAGACTGAGTAAAGAAGATAGCCCTCACCAATGTGGGTTGGCATTATCTAAACTATTGAGGTCTTGAATAGAACAAAAAGGTGAAGGAAGGAGGAATTTGTTTTTTGCTTGAGCTGGGACATTGATCTTCTCTAGACCTAGGGCACCGGCACTCCTGGTCCTTCCATCTCAGAATGACGCCTACAGCATTGAACCCCGCCCCAGTTCTAATGCCTTTGGACTGGGATTGAATTATACCAGAGGCTTTCCTGAGTCTCCAGCTTGCAAATGGCAGATTGTAGGATTTCTTGGCCTCCATAATTGCACGAACCAGTTCCTATAATAAATATCCTCTTATATGTATCTGTCTATTTATATATCTTATTGGTTTTATTTCTCTGGAGAAACCTGGCTAACAGCAACTTCACTCCGTGAAGTCTTGGTCATCTATAGGTAACCTGTGCCTGCAAGTTTTTGGCTTCGTCAGCCTGTGCCAATGTATACGTCCTATTTTACTCGAATGGAAATAGCACAAGTCCCCTCCAGTCTACCAGAAATAGGCATTCTTTCAAATGGCCATTTGTCTATTTTTGAGAGGTTTTTAGGGGACCACTTTAATCTCACCCCTACTCTGGTTTGGGGGTGAAGAACACCCATGCAGCTACTAGCCTACAACTGCTACCATCCTTGGAATTCAAAGGTCAAACATAATCTTAGAACCCTCACCAAATCCCTGGTGGGTCTCTATATGGAGAATTTCTCAGCATCTCCAAGCTAGTGATAGACTACTTGACCCAAGACCACTAAATCATTGGCTGCCTATGACCTATATGGCCGGTCCCCAAAAGTTTACGTTGGCAAATCAGATGCTCTTACTTGGAATTTGAAGTTTAAAACACTGAAACATGTTGCCAGTTGGTAGCAGAGGAAGAATGTCAAAGGATGCTAAATGGTAGTTCCAGGACCCTGGTCAACCAAATCATGGATAAATCACTGTAGTCAGAAGCCAGCAAAACTGTGAGTGAGTAGGGAAGTCCAGCTGGGGAGGTGTGGAAAGAAGCAGACGTATGGAGAGTAACAGCAGCAGGGGGGAGCTTGAGACCTTCTGCTGCTAATGTCTTTAAAAGACACCTCAAATCCAGAACACCCTGAGGCTTTAGTTCCCATCCTGTGAGGACTGCTGTGTCATGGCTCAGTGTCAGTGAGATCCTGTGCCATCCCTGTCTCCTCCTTACCTCTTATTTATTCTTGCAGTAACAACCCCTAACCCCCAACGCCCCACCCCACAGTAATCAGATTGAGTTGATCTCTGTTCTTTCCATATCAACAAGCTGAGACTGTACCCTCAGCTTCTGGGTTACTGTTACTGGTCCAAGTTACAATTGCTTAACTTTCTGTCTTAGGGTATGTTTTTTCCACGTGGCCCACCCTAGGAGCCCAATTAACTCTCATTGAATGACACCATAGGGCAGGGGTCCTCAAACTACGGCCCGCGGGCCACATGCAAATACAAATATTGTATTTGTTCCCGTTTTGTTTTTTTACTTCAAAATAAGATATGTGCAGTGTGCATAGGAATTTGTTCATAGTTTTTTTTAAACTATAGTCTGGCCCTCCAACGGTCTGAGGGACAGTGAACTGGCCCCCTGTTTAAAAAGTTTGAGGACCCCTGCCATAGGGATTTTAAAAAGAGAAAGAGCAATATAAGTTGCTGTGGTCAAGCAAAGCTTCCTGGAAGAGCGAGAACTTTCTTGGGAGATGGCTAGAGGGGAGATATTGCAGGCCTGAGACAGAGCACGTAAATAACCCTAGGTCATGCTAAGGAAAAGGTCGGTTAGAGAGCATTCATTTGAAATTGTGTGGGAACGCTGAAGGCATGAAAGTCTCTCATGAATTTTCAGGCTGCCAACAACCCCTCTCCAATATCCCCAAGTCATCACTTGGATTAGTCTGACCCCAAAACTTGGGAACGACAAAGAATGACTATTAAAGAAATCACACTGCACCATGGAAGATGGAAAGGTAAAATTGTGCTGTAATAATCCTGCAGACAGAATAAATGTTGTAGTGGATTATTATGTTGTCTAAAAACAGTCTTTGTGAATGGGGAATGACACGTGAAATTTGCAGCCATTTACTTTGCAGCGCTTCCATTTCCATTTATCTGGAGTGATGGGTACTCCGTTCCAATGCCTCCCCTTTTCCGTCATCTTGGCAGTGGGAAATAACCTGACAGGTGCACTCGGGAACTCTCTCAAGGTACAGCCGCCAGAGTTCTCCAGAATTCTGGAAAGTTCCACTTCTTCAACTGTGATGGAGAGAGAGAGAGAGAGAGAGAGAGAGAGAGAGAGAGAGAGAGAGAATGGGTAGCACTGGCCAGCAGCCATGGAAACAGACATTTGTGAAAAGGCATTTATGCAGAAATAGCCCAAGGGTGGGGAAGATACTTGAGGGTAAAGTAAAACCCTTTAATATGCTTGAGCTTTGTAAACTTAAGTGTGGCATATGTATCCTCTAAACCTAAACCTCCCTAGCATTTTAAATTAACTTTTAATATTTTTTTTACTTTTGGAAACTAATAATATACCCATTTTGTTGGTTGATTTGCTGGCTAGGCCTGTAACGTTTCCTAAGAAAGTATCTCCACTGTTTGCCTTGGTGCTTTTGCTCATGCTGTTTCTTGGCCTGGAAGCTTTTCAATTCTCCTCACCCTGCAAGGCCCAGGCAGAGCTTACCTCCCCGTGCCGCTTCCCTATCAAACCCAGGGGAAGTTTTTCTTCTCTTACTATGTGCCAGGACAGTCATTAAATCTGTGCAACGCGGGGAAGGCACAGCATTCACCATAGTCTGCCTTGGATCATTGTCATATTCTTCTCTTAAACCATTGCCTGCATCTGTGTTTGTTACCTACGTTTGCCAGGCCACAAACATCTGGGGCTTTCACAGAAAGGTAACAATCGGTATTGTATTTCTCAGGCGTTGTCCTCACCTGCAGAGGCAGGTCCTTCTGCCTCCCTGGAGTTCATCCGCTTGAGTTCTGAGGATCCCCTGGGTAGCCCATGTGTGGCCCTGAATACTGTCCTCTGCATCCTGCTCTGACTCTGGTCAGTGGTGAGGGTTCCTGGTGAGCCAGTGGGGAGGGCTTCTGGTGAGCCAGTGGTGAGGGCTACTGGTGAGCCAGTGGTGAGGGTTCCTGGTGAGCCAGTGGTGAGGGCTCCTGGTGAGCCAGTGGTGAGGGCTCCTGGTGAGGGTTCTCTGACTCTCAATGCTTGATGCCCACAGAGATCTGGGAACTTGCTGCTGCCGCTGCCTGCAGAGCCCAGGCCCACACTGAGCTGACACTGCCCTGCCTCTTCTGCGCACATTGTGGGAGTCCCTCAATGGGCTGCCCTGAATTGGCCTCTCAGCTGAGTTGGGGAAAACCCCTGATTTTCACTGCTGTGTTGTTTTATGGGACTTTGCTCCCAATGTTTTATAGATTTTTAGCTCCAGTTGGGGGAAACCCCTGATTTTCACTGCTGTGTTGTTTCATGGGTGTAGACCAGTAGGACTTTGCTCCCAATGTTTTATAGATTTTTAGCTCCAGAGCTCTTCTCATTTTCTTTGCTGTCTCCTCCTCTTAGAATGCAGCGGGAGAGTCCATTGAGACTGTACCTTCAGCTTCTGAGGTACCATTACTGGTCCAAGTTACAATTGCTTAACGCTCTGTCTTAGAGTGTGTACTTTCCAGGAGACCTCTCAGTAATAATATGCTGCAGGCAGGCACAGGCTTTGACCCCTTCCCCCACAGAAGCCTTGCAATGAACTTATGAGCTTGGTACTCCTGTATCCAGTTGAAGAAGCTAAAGCCCAGAGAGGTTAAATAACTTGCTAAAATTGCCTAGAAAATTAGTGGTAGAAACAGGCTTCCGGATTCCCAGTCTAGCGTTTCTTCCTCAGACCAATGACTTCCCAGCTCTTCCTCTTTTTATTTTTTTGTCAGTTTTAAATTTTATCTCATTAGCTTAAAAGGTGAATAATACGTCTTTCAAACTCATTTATTATTAAACTTACTAAACTAATTTATCTCAATATGTTTACATAGAGCACAGATACAGGATTTCAGGTAACTTATGGTAGAGGCGTAGTCCATTTAAAAATAAGCTTCTTTCTTCCACAAATACTGCATTGAAAGGCAAAACAATTTTCTTTTATACTGCATAAGAGCTAGATGCAAACTTTTGATGTAAATTTATTTCATTGTCAACTCTCATGCTAAAGCTGGGAGGCACAAATGTTCATAGTTCAGTTACTAGTAAATGATACAAACAAAAAGCTTCAGTTTCTCTCAGATACAAATCAGAAACCTCCATCCACGTCTCTTACAGTAGTATGTCAGACTTGATTGTCTTGCCAAGTCACTTCTTTCCTTTCCCTTTTTTTACTTCTTTCTCCTTGCTGAAGAGTTTGGTCACTATCTCCTGCTTTTCGTGTCCTTGTTTTTAGTTTAGGAATCATTTCCGCTGTATACAACATTACTGACTTATGTGGTGGGACTTGTACAAGACAGAGGCTGCCAACTTCCTGTTTGAGTTGAACCCGGTCTCTGCCCCTGTACTGAGCATTACGATTCCGTTCTCTGGAGTACATTTTTTTTTCCTCACAAAATGCATTAAATCCAATGGCTGAGTGCACATCTTAAATCTCTGTAGCTGTAGGCTTTTCAACAGCCTTACTTTTGGGGATTTGCCTACCCTCCGAGATGATCTTCTTGTTATTTAAATAAGCAGGGTATCTATATACATATATAAAAGGCTACTATGCAAAATGTCCCCTCGGGAGTTCAACCTGGAGACCGGGAGTTCAATTGCTCGCTATGACGTACGCTGACCACCAGGGGGCGGTGCAGAATGAAGGAAGGCCCGGGCCGGCAGCCGGGGAAGGGAGGCCCTGGCTGGCAGCCAGAAGGCCCCAATCGGTCCTGATCACCTGTCAGGCCCAGGGACCCTACCCATGTACGAATTTCGTGCACCAGGCCTCTTAATACAAATAAACCTGTCTTGGCCGGCCGCTGTGCAAGCCATCTCCGCCCGTGCCCACCGGGCTGAGACCCACCAGATCTTCCTCTTTTTAAAATCAAATATGTCCCACCCTGGCTGGGTAGCTCAGTTGGTTAGAGCATTGTCCCGATGTGCCAAGGTTGCACATTTGATCTCCAGTCAGGACACATACAAGAATCAACAAATGAATGCATAAATAAGAGAGTAACAACAAATCGATGTTTCTCTTTCTCAAATCAATCAATAAAAATATTTAAACCAAATATGTCCCTTTCTTCAAGTGGAATCATTCAAGAAGCCCAACATATAAAGCAAATATGGGTTGGCCAGTATAGGTGTGTGTCAGCCTATGAACCAGGAGGTCATGGTTCAATTCCCGGTCAGGGCACATCCCCAGGTTGCGGGCTCAATCCCCCATAGGGGGTGTGCAGGAGGCAGCTGATCAGTGATTCTCTCTCATCATTGATGTTTCTATCCCCCAGGTTGGCTCAATCCCCCATAGGGGGTGTGCAGGAGGCAGCTGATCAGTGATTCTCTCTCATCATTGATGTTTCTATCTTTCCCTCTCCCTTCCTCTCTGAAATCAATAAAAATATATTGTAAAATATAAAACAAATATGGCTGGGGCTGCTCTAGACAAAAACAGGATGAATATGGGGGTTTCTTTAGCTAGGCCACACCTTCCCCAAAGGCAGCTGGGCCCTGAGCTCTGTCTGAGGAGTGACCCCCGAAAGACTGCTCCTAGAGTTCCCAGTCTCACCCAGAACACAGATGAGCTCCCTGTTGCATCAAAAAGGGAAGTTTCCCACCTAGAAGGATACAAGTTCATTTTTACACAGGCCAGCAAGAAACACAATTTTATCAGGTTTTGTTTTATTTTTTCTCTCCCCCCGCCATTTCTCTTGAGTCACATCTCCAAGTCTCTGTGTGTTTAATCTGTCACTCATCCCTTCTTCTCTGCTAGCCCCTTTAGCTGAGCCACTTTCATCCTGGCAGGTGATCACCACAAGCCTTTAAGGAGTGGTAAAATGAGATGGAGAAATAATCAGAGGCCTCAAAGCTGCTTTAGGTGATGTTTGTACTGTCTCACTCACCCTCCCACTGGGCTTCAGGTTTTCCATTCAGGCTCATGAATGCCACACCCAGGGCATTCCAGCTGAGCTCTGTGTAGCTGAGCCAAGAGTTTGTAGACAGCTGGAGGAAAAATGTGCTGAAGAAGCAAGACCTCTGCGCTGTCACCCCAGTAGCTTGAACCAGGGCTAGCATGACCAGGTGCTGAGATGGTCTGTCTGCCCTGTGCAGTGGAACAATGAGAGGGGAGTGAGCAGCACCTAAAGCAGCACCTAGCGCCTCTCTGGGCTGGGAATGACTGCAGAATGAGCAAGCATCAAGGAGACAGGACAGACTCACCAAAGAGAGAATGGTATGTATGAGCCATTTAGAGTGACTCATGAGATTTCCACCTGATAAAGGAATGTTGGCTTTTCCTGGACATGCTTTAGGAAATGCTCAACTCTAGAAAACCCTCACTCAAATGCCACACACTGCAAAGCCCAGACTTCCTGTTTTTCAGATAGGGGAAACAAGACTGTAGAAGGGAGCTGGATCTCCAAATGACACTTCGAGACACCTCCATGTTTCAGGTGTGGATTCTGGTTTAAAATGGTTATTTGCCCTGGAGAGACTGTCTCAAGAGTATGGCCACTTGCCTGCTCTTCCTGAATCTGCACATATAGTGGCTGAGAGCTATTCCCGGGCCACCTTTCCAGATGATAGCTCTGGGACCTTGATAAGTAACCATAACTTACATTTCCATAGCAGTTTATAGTTCTTGAGGCACTTTACCCAAATATATCAGACAGGATTCTGCACAGGTAACAGAAATCACTCTAGTAGTTTAAGCAGAAAAAGAGTTACTTACTATAGAGGATTAGGTGCTTGCAAGGAGCGGGCTTCAGGCTGGGCCTCCAGGAATGACTTTCAGAGCTGTATCCCAGAACTAGCTTGACCAGAGAGTGCCTACTTCTGCCACAATCAGGAAGACACTGCCAGAAATGTTGGCTCTAAGAATATACTGCCGTCATTGTAATTTGGGGATCAGAACTGCTGCCTCTAACGCCATGTGACTCCAGTTTTGATTTGCATTAGCAGAATGCATACTTCATGTCCACCCCTCTCTCTTCTTAACTTTTTAAATCCAAGCTCTGTGCAAGGATGTCTGCTTAGTAGGACCCAAATTACCCTAAAACATAGCTGCAAGGGAGTCTAGAAACTAAGTGTTAGCTTTCCAGCCTCTGCAGTACAGAAAGGCACACTAGAAAATTAGAATAGACATTTAGTCTATATCTGCCTTCCCATATTACTATTCCTGGGAAATCTGGAAAGTGACAGGAGAAGTGGTAGCCTCATTTAGCACATGAGGAAAATGATGATGGGGCTAGAGGCACTAAATGGGGAGATGGGGAGGTCAGGGACTGTTGCCCTAAGCAAGTGTAGTTTGTGTTGAGATGTAAAGAATGCTACATGTTAAAGTAGATGAAGGGATTAGTGGGAACAGTATTCCAAGAAGGAAGAATAGCATGCATACAGGCTCCAAGACTGGAGGGAGTGTGATACAACTGCAGAACTGGAAGAAAGAAGGGACATACTTGTGGGGCAGTGAGAAAAGGATGTGAAAGGCTGGAGAGGCTTCAGGGACAGACAGGCAAGCCCTGTGGGCCTCATTAGGAATTTGGCCTTTATCCCATGAGCAATGAGAAGCCATTCAAGCATTTTATGGAGGGAAATGGTTGGGGGAGGTGTGTGTGTGGGGGGGGAGTGAGGGAGCGGGGGAGCAGATCATATTTAAGTTTGAAAAGATCACTGGCCTGCGTGCGTGCATGTGTGTGTGTGTGCTGACCCCATGCCTGTATTTGCTTACAATGGTCCACCATTTGCCAACAAACTATCATTATTGTCATGTATTACTGAAGGGGTTTTATTTTTGAATCATTTGCTTTCTTTCATTCCAAGCAGCAGGAGAAAAAACCAATAGCACAAAGAGGTCTACAAGTCTGGGAAAGTATTTTTTTGGGGTTTTTACATTTGTATAAATAAAGGCCTCTGGGGGAACCATTCATTTCCTTTGTAGCTGCTTTAGGATGTTAGGGAGGGCATTCAGTGTGAGCTGTTGGAAATGCTTCTGCACATTGTTCTGTGGGTGGAGCTCAAAAAGGTGTGGAAATGAATCAGCAGGCGAGGCCTCCGATAGTGCCTCTGGTCCTCTAGAAATTGGCTGCTGCTGGGCTGCGGGCCCTCTGTCGGCAATAGCTTGGTGGAGGGTAGGTCTTCTCTCAGGGATCAGCAACTGGGGGGTTGGCAGCATGTGAATGAGGGCTGTTCCAAAGAGATCAAAAAGCATAAATTTAAAAAGCTGTCAGATGCGACTGTATTCCAAAGAGACCACACGTTTTAAAAGAACCAGCCTCTGAGAGTCCCAAGACTCAACTTCTTCAGGAAGCCTTTCTTCCCAAAAGAACCCAACTCCGCTAGCACCTTCCTCCCACACGTATGAATGCGGCGTCCTGCAGGCAGTCCCACCTCATTGGAAACCCCGGCTCTGAGTCCCAATTCTTAACCAGGATGTGAGTTCCTTCAAGGAAGGCATCATGCTTTTTAAATGTCTTGGTATTCCTCACAGCACCCATCTTGGTCAGTTCATGGAAAATATTCATGAATCCCAAGATATTTTTTACTTTTCATTGGGTCATGATAGCCGTGGGGCAGGGTGTCCATGGACCAGTCTTCCAGAGCCTTTGCTTAAACTACCAATAAACCCTCAACAGGGCTTTTTAGCCATGACCTCTTTCTGATTATCCTGAGCCTATACACTGGAGGGTTGTCCACACTGGCCTGAGACCAGCGGCCAAGTGCAGGAAGTGTGCTTTGCGAGGTACCACCTGGAACAGTGAGTGGAAGCAGCTGCAGTCCTTTTGGCCTCCCCCTTCCTGCAGAGGTGTGCAGTCAGAGCTGGTCTGCAGGTGCGTTTTGAGGCACAGTATTAACAATTGGTAAGGTAGGGGACCCTATCGATGTGATTTGGCTCACGTGCTGTTTGCCTTTCAATGCACCTTTACCCACCTGTGGAAGGTTTGGGATTGTGGTGCACTAGTTTCTCTTTGTATGAACAACTAGGGTGTGTAAAGGCTTGGTGCTGTGAAACTTACTTCTTTGCTCAACTCGAGCACCCGCTGGTCATCCCAGCTTCTCCATCTATAGCTACCCAATGGGAATATAAATCCCAGAGAATCATTTCTATTTATATTTAGGGGATTCTCAAAGAACTAGATACCAAGAAACCAAAGCATTACCCATTTTTTTCCATTGAAAAGGATAACAATGAAGTGATAAATGATTAATGAAGTAAACCATTATGGACAGATAGTGTCATCAAATTCATAGAGATAAGAAGTAGAATGGTAGGTACCAGGACTGGGAGGAGGGAGAATGGTGAGGTATTGTTTAATGGGTACAGAATTTCAGTTTGGGGAGATGAAAAATTGCTGGAGATAGATGGTTGCACAACGATGTGAATGTACTTAATGCCACTGAACTATTCACTTAAAATGGTAAAATTTATGCTATGTATATTTTGCCACAATAAAAAATAAGCCATTTTGAACAGAACATTGTCTCATTGAAAAGACACTAAACTTGACTTTTAACTCGAGTGCTGTGTGTGTGAATTTATATTAAAAGTAACCAGTTGGATGAAAACATAACCCACTCCTGGCCAAGAGGTTCTTTTCCTGTGCATTTGTGCATCCTGAAGCTGGCTCCACAGTGTGTTGGTCAGGAAGTAGGTGACTCATGGGGCCTTTATGACAGATCCCGGAGTCACACACACACACACACACACACACACACACACACACACACACGAGTCCCGCCCCCATCTCACCCCCTCAAATGGGCTTCTAAGACAGGCAGTGATTTGGGCACCAGAGAAATGTGCCTGGGCATGGCAGGAGGCCGCCTGGTGCCCA